ATGGAAGTCGGATGAGGCTTAGTAGCTTAGATGCCTGAAAATCAAATGAATTTTGAATACGCAGTAAAGACCACGAAGTTGCGGTCAAAGCAGCAAACATGAAATGTTAGCGACAAGTATGTTGAAGTCTCTACGACTTCATGGACTTTATAGCGAATACACTGAAAATTTCACGCATTTGTTGTAAACTTTTAAAATGTATATAAGAACCTTCATTTTAATAAAGGCAAATAAGTACGGTGTTCCATTTGGGCCAAAAGTGCAATTTTTTTAAAAATCTAAATTTTCAAAATTTTGAAATTGTAAAAATTGAAAAATTCAAAAATTCGAAAATTGAAAAATTCGAAAATTGAAAAATTCAAAATTGAAAAATTCAAAATTGAAAAATTCAAAAATTGAAAAATTTAAAAATTGAAAAATTTAAAAATTCAAAAATTCAAAAATTAAAAAATTTAAAAATTTTTAAAAAATTTCAAAACATCTAAATATAGTAAATTAATTGCCAAATATAAAGCGTAAGTTATACAGATTACATGTTTTTAAATTTTGTGTAACCCAACACATGTTTGTGGGAAAGCCAAATTCAAATTTCACATGACTATAATACATATTTGGCAATTAAAATACTATATTAGATTTTATCAAATTTCAAATTTCGAATTTTTGAATTTTTGAAAATTTTAAAAATTCAAAAATTCAAAAATTCAAAATTTGAAAATTGAAAATTTTAAAAATTCAAAAATTCAAAATTTGAAAAATTTGAAAATTGAAAATTTTAAATGTGATAAAATCGAATTTGTCATGTGATAAAATCGAATAAACACTTACATTATTTGTGACAAAATCGAATAAAGCTTGTGATAAAATCGATTTTATCACATAACAATTTCGAATTTATCATGTTTAAAATTTACAATAATCAAGTTCTACAACCCTAATAAAACCTTCTATATACTTCTTTTTCATTTATTCTTTGTAGTTTTTTTTTTTTTAAAAAAGTACTTTAAACTGTATAAATAATGTAAAATTAAATTGATTTAAACTGCCAATCATACGAATGTCTGCCTATTAGGTGCGTACGTACAACCACATATTGTATTAAAACAAATGCGCTTAACTATTTAAATATTATTTTGATTATTACTATGATACATGCCTTTCTGAGTGTTAAAGTCAACTAGATTGGCTGCTTCGGATCGACTTGAGTTTTTAACAATTAAGGTGCGGTCGATTTCGTCATCTTATGTGAGTAGAGAAACGAATACACACTATTATATAAATCGTATATACGTATTGAAGCGACTTTTAATAAACACTCCTCATAGGCAGTGACACTAGGGAATTAAGGGGCTTGACTATAAAATTTATTTTAAGCCATTATTAAAGGTTAATTGGCGTTTTTTAATTATCAAACGGTCTGAATTACTGTAATAGTTTTTACTCTATTAAACTGCACGGCTTTATAGTCCATGACTTAATGGATCCTGAAATTCACCGTATTACAGCTGGTTTCGTAAATTTTGGGCACTTGAAAAATTGTTGATGGCCGAATTGATAAGCATTTGATCTAGGTTGACGTCGGTAGCTTGTCCCAAAATTCATGAAAATAGCTGTAATTTTTAGGATAGGTTGCCAAAAGGGTAGGCCGGTAGCTTGATCCCGATAATTGCCGAGCTTTTAGGCATTCGGTAACACCAAATTCATGGATTGTTACAATTACAGTTTGTTTTTTTTTTGTAGTACGTACACGTAAAATTTATACGTAATATATGTATTGTATATATATAGATATTTAAAAAAAAAAAAGAAATCTTTTTTAATCTAGATTATCGTTATGTAAGGAGTTTGACGGATTTACTTGCATCATGCATACAAACCCCTGATCCGGAAACCAATGTATCCAACCAATCGGTCGGTCGTCTGTTAAACGGATAATAATAACCCATATTTATGTGACCGCCCAGAAAAAAAGCCAATACATGTGATTTAATCTTATCACTATGTCGATCTTTAAGACCCCACTATCGTTTAGTAATCTTTGCCGACCAAAATTTTTCGCTCGACCAAGCCGACTGAATAAGTCGTACAAAATCGGCCAGCCGATTTAATAAATCGTTAGACTGGGTCTAAAAACGGCTTAGCAGATTTTTTTGCGTTATCAACCAAGATCAACTACTATCGCTATGTATTATTGATCATTGGCGTGTTTGTCCATAGCGCAACCCTTTAAATTCGTTTTTGGATTATTGATCATTGGCGTGTCAGTCCATAGCGCAACCCTTTATTTTTCGTTTTTGCATTATATTCGAAGATGAGTTTATGAATGCATATAATAAATATAATAACGAGCGAACAGTAAATATTATGGTGCTTGAATTATTTAAAATAATGTATGCTATTCCAACTAAACAATTATAGAGATTTGTTTAGATCACATTGAAAACAATAAGAAAGAGAAAGAATTGATCGATTAAGGAAAAACCAATACCAGGCAAAATTCTTTCCTATTCCATAAATACTGTATTACATAATATTTTCATGTTATTTTAGGTACGTACAAGGATGGCATATTGCATAATCCAGATTGAACATGTGAATTGGAACCATTACGTATGTATGAAATCAGAATATCTTAAGCATTAAATATAAAAGTATTAACAATTATTATTGCAAAAAACTTGGCAATTGATATAGAAAAAATGCCACGGTAAACAAATACAAATACTAAAATTCAGATTACATAGATTATTGGTTTGAATCATCTCTTTATTCAACGCAAAAATGAGTTATTTCATAATAAAAGAAAAAAAAGAGGAATAATCTTTAATAAATTTTAGTTCACGTAAGGCATTGCGCATTAAACAGTTAATGACTATTAAAATATATAACCAATATATTATCAATTAAATTCTAACCCGTCATTTAATGATAGGTATAACATCCAGCTAGCATAATTCCGCAAATGAATATTATCCAGGTGGGTATCCGGGTGACCCGTTTTAATCGAGTAACAACAGGTTTTAGTTTCAGATATAGCAAAACACCTAAATGCAATAAGGAAAAGTGCATTTAGAGAGGGTGTATTTATAGAGAGCTGCATTTAGAAAGGTCTCAAAGTTTGACCCACGGGGCACGAGTGAGATTTTTTAAACCGGTTCAAGTTCAATAATGGTAAACACCGATATCTGACATCAAGATTTATTAAATCATTACATAAAACAAAACATCAAGATTTATTAAATCATTACATAAGACAAAACATCAAGATTTATTAAATCATTACATAAGACAAACCTAACACGGACCAATGAGGGAGAAGTGCTCCTGCATGAGAATCAAAGAAGCGAAAGATATGGACGCTTTTTATTTGTATTTTACTAGCCGCTTTTCAGGAAAAAAAAATGAATTCAGATTTATGGTTATTGTTATAGTATTATATATATTTAGTATATATTTAGTATATATTTGTTGTACCCCCGGATTTGAATTGTCCCGATTCAGAATTGGATAAGAATTTTGTAATTTTGGCAAACATTATACTAACTAAAAATTAAAAATATTTATTCTAAACCCTTTAACGCTAACCTAAGTTCCAATTCTGCCAAAATAATTTGTAAAATTCCCATCCGAGGCAGTCCAATTCTGAATCGGCTCGATTCCAATCTGGGGTACAACATATTTAACATCAAGCGGGATACACGGATCTATTTTATTGTTAGAACATATTGGAACTTTCTATAGATAGTTGATATGTAAATAAAAGTGTAATTACGCCAAAATTATGGCCTGATGTGTTCTTAGCCAATTAGCTTTAATTATCGAATGAAAACATAAAATAATTAATGCATATCTCCTTTCTTGGGACTAGATACCCATGTATCGGAATATTGGAGAGCATTGAGAAACCTTCCAATTTATCAAATTTATTACGCACAAAAATATATATAGAAAAAATATGCATGAAGAGTTATTGTAATACTAGAAATTTTGGAATTGGGAGAAATATATGGACCATTCGTGTTTGTGTCCTAATTTTTTGATTACTGGCACGTGTCAAGGCTTGAATGATTTTTTTAACTAGATGCTTCGACAGAATTCCTAGAAACTGTATATCTTATAAAAAGTAATAATTTTTGGTGCATAAAAGCGCATGCAATACTTCGGATACTAGCGGATGAAGGGTCAAACTTTGACTCGAATAGTAACCTCAAATACAGCGGAATACAGCGCAACGAGAAAACTCGATACCGATCGCAGATCGTATTTTAATAAAACTAATAAATGTTACAGAAAACATCATTCAATAAGAAATCCGGTTACAAAAGGTTTTATTAACAGCGTGTGTATATTTCAAATAGTACATTTGATCATATGGTAAACATTAAAAAAGAAGGATCGCTGAGGTTTTATAACGAAATTTTAAAGTTATAATATATTTGCAATGAAACATATTATACCGATACTTTATTAAAAGTGTTACAGTAAACTTATACAAAAAGAGGCATTGTTCACGATGATACCGACAATGCCTATCACGAGGTAAAGTAACCAACCATTTTTGTCGTCCCTGTTACTAAATTCCAAACATACGATCGTGTGAACTATTTAAATAATAAGGGAATGTTGCCTAATTAACTTTAATCTTAAAATGACATAAAAGCGCTTTGTTGGCAGAAAATTTTCGTGACTTTTTTTTTTTCCTTTTTTTTTTTTTTTTTTTTTTTTTTTTTTTTTTTTTTGTAATGCGGTTGATTCGCATTATGTTATCGTTATGTTATTAAGATCCCGAAAAAACTCATGTCATTCTAATTTGTATTAGTGTCCTATATTTATAATTTTGTGTCCTTCATAATCTTAAAACCTTAGTTGTACATGTACATAAATTTGGGTCATGCGAGACCTAACCTTATTGAGTTAAAATCATTTAAAAAAAAAAACAAAAAAAAGGCTTATTTCTATAAGAACAACTCTTACGTGCATACGTAAAAATTTTCTTTTTCTCATATATCAATGGAATCTTTAATCCATCCCATAATTAATTTATCATCATCATGAACCTTTCCGATAACAAATATTCCTATTGTTTCATTCTTATATTCACTTACCACAGCAACGCAACCCATCTGTGGTAATCCTTTAACTCTTATATGATCCCAATTGCGTTCCTCTAATGATAAAGATTTCAAAAGCTCCCATGGTCGACCCTCTTTTTCATAATTAAGCTCATCTCTTTCCATTCCACTTAAAATGAAAATATGATGGTGCATCGAAAACATCGCTGCATGTACTCTTCTTCCGACTTTACTTCCATCTGTTGCTATCCAATCTGATGGAAGAGATAATGTAGGCGATAATCGTGAACCATCAGGATAAGGAGTAATTAATTTATGCCAATTATTATGACGAACATCATAAAAATGAAGATCCTTATCATCATGTATCTCCGTTTCCTTTGTGGTAGTAGAATTTATTTGTTGCCCGCCAAAAATGTAAAGCTTTTCATCAAATACAGTAGTACTATGCGAAGCACGTCGATAGGGCATGTTATTTGATTCTGTATGGTAAGTCCAAATATTTTTTTTTACATCATAAATGGCAAAATGTTGAGTATCATAAACTTCTTCACCTCTTAAACATCTTCCGCCAAACATTATCAACCGATTACCATCGATAGCATTAAGTGTATGCATTTTTCGAGGAGCAGGGGTCGATGAGGATTCTACCTTACGCATATTATAAGTTTTAATATCTAATTCATAGAGCACATTAGATAATTTTTCGGTTTCTATATTTTCACCACCAAATATATACATTATTTTTGCAATGATCGTTGCGGCAGTATACCGAACTGGTTCGTATGAATCGTGAGAGTCTAAAACTATCTTAATTGGTTTGCTAGTCCACGTGATCGGGTGAACGGTTATATCAAGTGACCAACAAATTGGCTCGTCTTTGGAAAAGATCACAAGATAGAAAATATTATCTGACCATACACCATCTCGATAATTAGAAGCGATGACGTTACTGTTCTTAACATCAAAATCATTTACGGCTTCCCATTCAGGTGACACGAATCCGAAACGAAATTTAGTTGACATGCGATATAACCATCGACAAGTTTTAGAAAGATTTTTTAGGTCATTTCTATTCAATTGTTCCATGATGAGGTACAGAGTTTCTGTGGGCAGCTTGGCAAGTCTATTGCCTTCTAGCATTGATAAATCAGTTTATTTTAAAGTGCATGTAATCTAAGGGTGGCGAAACCGATTGGCATTGGAGGACCTAGAGGACCTAGTGGTATGAAAATATGAAACCTTTTAAAATTATGCGCCTCACGCAAATGGGTCAAGAGAAATCAGAAAAGTTCAAAGCTTTTTATTTTTTTACTTCTTGAAAAATCCTTTTTATAAATTTAATCCAATGCCGCACGTGATTCAAGATGGTGTTAATCTATGCTTCATAACTTTTATCCCCAAATTTGGAGTAAAGTCTTTCGGGCAATTAAGATGAGAAGCTATACAAGGTTTGGTAATTGTTTGTGTTTTTGCTATTCAAATATATTTGGTTAGTTTATTACATCATATAAGAATCACATGAGTGACATTCATATATGCACATTAATTGCTCTTATCCACAACAATAATTTGATGATTCTAGAAATAAGATTTAAACTCGGAACAAAGTACGTGTTATCATAGTTACTCAGTGTGAAGCGCCGTATCCACGTCCAAATGACGATGTTTTGCAAATATAAATATGGGGTCAACAAACGGGTAATTATTTATTAGGATAACAGTGCGTCTCACTAATTCCCAAATACAGTTTAATTCAAGGCTTGGAAAAAATAAATTTAATTTCCAAAAATGCACGTTATTATAATTTTATATTAATTTTCTTAAAATATTATTTTTTTTAAGAGACAACGTTTAGATGCACACAAATATACGTTAAATTGCACCAAAGATCGGAAATTATTTCTAATTATGATATCATTAAGACATCACAATGCAGACGCATTTTTATTTGTACCTTTATACAACTTTAACTCATTATATGAAGTATGTACTCACGTACGGTCCCCACAGAAAGTAACGCCAGATTACTTTTTTTTCATAGAGAAAGATAGGTGTTACTCTATGTGGTAACTGTACACATCAAGATTTACTTACATTGTTAAAATTGTGTGAAAAAAACTTAATTCCGAGAATCATGTAAGATTTTCAATTTTTTTTATTATCTTATTAAATTCTATACTGCCTATATCTGATATTTAAACTGATACACGAAACCTGTCACTTCTGTCGAACATGTTCTCAGACAAGTTTTTCCTACAATTCTAAATGTGAGACAATATAAATGCTTACCGTTATTGTATGTTTTTAAACCCCGATTTTCATCACCAACTCGGGAAATTTTTTGTCGGTAAAATGGTAAGGATAAATTAAACAATTATATTTTATATAAATTTTACAATAAAATATTTATTTTTTTATTTATTTTATAAAATTCTATGATAAATTTATTTTATATTTTATAAATTCTATGAACTTATTTATATTTTTTTCATAGGCCGCTTGCTTTCACTTAGGAACCATTTTATAGTTTGTTCATAAACATTTGTGAATGCTAAAGAATATTATAGAAATTTTCTGAGTACGAATACGGGGGCACTAGAAATTTCTGGATACCAGACCATAGTATCACTCCAAACTAGCCAATAACACTGTTAGTATCTTATGTAATAATATTCACATGACACATGGTTATTATTATCATACCAGCATTATTGGTCCATTTTTTGTATTACGGGGGATGGAATTTTTTTTTAAACTCTAAAAAAAAAAAAAACGTATCTGTGATGCAAATTGCGTCATTTGTGATACTCGTTATATCGCGTTATGGTAATTATTAACGAGTTAAAAAAGATCTACTCTGTAGGAAAAAAAATCCAAACAAAATGTAATGGCGCAACATTGAAAAAAAGATAAGTGAACTTCGATAATCGAAGAGGCGAAGATATTCGCGTCAACTGGTTGAAACCAAATTATGAACCCATGTCAAGAGCGCGTAAATCACTTTGTGTTACGTGAAAACCAATCAGAATGCTATATATGAACAATTAATATGATTTATTATTGAATTTTAAGATATACTTATCAGTAGCGTACTATACTTATTAAGTGTCTAGGTAGATTAACAATTTATCCGTCTTTTTTTTAATCTCTTATTTATGGAGATTGGTAATTAGTTAATTTTGGCCCATGATCAACATAATTCAGCCCGAAGCTATGGAATAAATTTTGTATGGTTAAACGGTTCCAATCCTTACTATTTAAGAACTTTTGAATCTAATCGGTAGATTATACATGCTCAGTTTACAGTTGCCAAAATGGTAAGTTATTAGTAAGTTACCGGTGAAATACCATATTTTATTCTGAAAGTATTCTGAAAGTATTCACATTTCATAATCACGAAATTTTCCGATAGCCACATTTTTTTCATGCAAACATTTGGTAACTTACCACAAAAATATTCATGGTAATTTACTTACTGTGGTAATTTACCATGGTAAGTTACGTCAACAACCCTGTCAGTTTGGCTATAGATGTAAATTTTTAACCTTTTAATCTATAGCATAATATACAGGATTGATCAAAGTGATTGATCGACCATAAATTTGCTTGTCGTTGGTCAAATAGTTCTGATTGAATTGCTTTGATCAAATTGTCAATTTGTTTGGTCTATTAATTCAACAGTCTAGTTGCATAGAATAATATACAGTAATATACTTTATATACCGGCTAACGCTAAAATTGGCCAATAACGAAAATTTTAAAAAAAATTTTTTAGAGTATTTGTTTAGATTGTTATATTTACAAATAGAACTCTAAATTTTAGACATCCCAATTTTAATATTGGTAGTATATACTGTATATTAACTAGATTGCTGAGTTGGCAATAAAGCCAATAGAGTTCATTGAAATTCCGAATAGAACTTAATAAACTACCACCCATTGAATCTACTCAAAGCTTGGAGCTTTATTGGGTTCTATTGAAAACTATTGAACACCGGGAATGGTAAATGGCCTTCAAATGACCTCAAATGACCCAAATTTTATTATGAATTTAGTCCGAAATGACCTAGGTCATTTGAAAAAAAAGGCAAATGACCTCCAATTTCACCATCCCTGTTGAACACCATTGTCAATCTAGCTATATTATATATAATTTAACTATATTAAATATAAGCTCTTGAACCAGATTTAATTAATTTAATCAATTTGGTTTAGGTTAAGGTTGACTATTAATATTGGCGGATTTATACCATCTGATAGTAGAGTTTATCGTTTATAATTCTGATTAAATTGGTAGATTATTTGACCAAATCTAGAACAACCCAATTTTTAAACCTGGCTAAATAATATGCAACTTTGAACAGTATTATAAATAATCAATATTCTATTGATTAAATACAGTAATACAGTATACTGTATATGAGTGACGAAAAGAAAACACTTTACTCATTATCATCGCAGTGATATATACCCCTAATTCTTATAAGGGTAGATATCACTGCAATGATAATGAGTGACATGGTTTTTTCTTTCGTCACTTATTATTTATATATAAAAGTGTAAAAAAAAATGCAATTATTATAAAATGTACCTATGGTGTTTAGCACCATATATAATTGTTTTTAATAAAATTTAGGGTTAGGGTGCATTTTTATGAATTTAGATATATATATATATATTATGATATATATTAGACATAAGGTTCTAATTTTAGTTTTTGTGAGGTTTTTGGGGGTTCTGAACATTTTTACTTAGAATATCCGATCCGGTTAACTTAGTACGTTTTTGAGAAACAGGGACCTATGGTGTTAAACACTATAGGTGCATTTTAATAAACCCAAAAAAATGGCTTTATTTTTTTTTAATATATTGGTTTTTTTTTTAATATATTCATAATTTTGGTTATTTTATTTCTATTTTTTAAAAATAAAATAACAAGATTAATCTTTAGAATAGATAGATACAGTATATAGAATTAATACAAAATTAAAATTAACTAATTTAAACAAATTTATAAATATAATAGAGTAAAATTAAAAATTAAAGGAAAATTAGCTTAAAATAGCTAATTTTTACAACAATTTTATATACTTATTTATAGTAATTATATAAAAAATCAATTATATTATTAGATTTAATATTATAATTATTTTTATTATACTATAAACTGCAGTATAATACAGTATAAATTTTTTTTTAAAAAATATATATATTTAAAGGAAAAATTAACATAAAACCATATTCAATAATTCTATAATAACTCAAAATTTTACTAAAGTAACCCTGTTGTATAATTAAATAAAAATGTTTCTTTTACAATTTTATTCTAATTCTAATCTAATCTAATCTACCTAACTAACTCTAATATTAATAGCTACAAAGTTTTTTATAAAAAATCTATATTTAATAGTATAGCTACATGTAGCCTATAGCTACAAATAAATTAATTCTAATTTAAAATATTATTTATAAAATTATTTTTTTATAAAATTTTAGTATAATTTTTATTTATTTTAATCTTTAATTTTAATTAAATTTTAATTTTTAGTTAATTAAAATTAATATAATATATATTATATTGTAGTTGCAACTCTTTCTAATGATTACTTGAACCAAAATTTCCTACAGAAGAAAAACACAAATTTTTGCTGAAGAGTCGTGGCCTACATAGTGGTTTGTCTAGAGGTCAACTTCTTTTCTAAGGGACTCCTCTATAAGTAACATTTGGCATGCAAGCCAAGAGTGTTATTATACAAGATAACTGGCAGGAGGTGCCCTTGTATAAAAAATCTTGGTGGAGAAGAGGACTCTGCAGACTAACCTTTCTTCTTCATTAACAAAGCTATCAGTCTGTACTTCTTTGAAGACACTGGGAACAACAAAATAACATGTTATTTCTTCAAGCCACACTCTTTTTACTTGGTCAAGTGGCACTCTTTTACTTTTTATCACCCTCTTGTTGGTCTTCCAAAAATTTTCAAAAAAATATAAGGATTTGGCTTACCCCCTCCAAAAAATCAGCATTGTTTACATCAACCAAATTCAGATGGACTCAGTAGAATACAATTACGTGTTTGTTGTATTGA